CAGCAGCGTCTGAATCTGGACGCCAGTTCCGACTTACATACAGATTCAACTTAAGAACCCCAAGCGTCCCCAAGTCAGCCGCTGCTGAAACTGACCAGTGCTGACTACAGGAAGCCCGAGGCAGAGTTGCTCTGCCCCAGGCTTCCTGGAATCAGCGCTGATCAGTTTCAGCAGCAGCTGACTTGGGGACGCTTGGGGTTCTTAAGTTGAATCTGTATGTAAGTCAGAACTGGCAGTAAGTTTCAGCAGCGTCTGAATCTGGACGCCAGTTCCGACTTACATACAGATTCAACTTAAGAACCCCAAGCGTCCCCAAGTCAGCCGCTGCTGAAACTGACCAGTGCTGACTACAGGAAGCCCGAGGCAGAGTTGCTCTGCCCCAGGCTTCCTGGAATCAGCGCTGATCAGTTTCAGCAGCAGCTGACTTGGGGACGCTTGGGGTTCTTAAGTTGAATCTGTATGTAAGTCAGAACTGGCAGTAAGTTTCAGCAGCGTCTGAATCTGGACGCCAGTTCCGACTTACATACAGATTCAACTTAAGAACCCCAAGCGTCCCCAAGTCAGCCGCTGCTGAAACTGACCAGTGCTGACTACAGGAAGCCCGAGGCAGAGTTGCTCTGCCCCAGGCTTCCTGGAATCAGCGCTGATCAGTTTCAGCAGCAGCTGACTTGGGGACGCTTGGGGTTCTTAAGTTGAATCTGTATGTAAGTCAGAACTGGCAGTAAGTTTCAGCAGCGTCTGAATCTGGACGCCAGTTCCGACTTACATACAGATTCAACTTAAGAACAAACCTACAGTCCCTATCTTGTACGTAACCCGGGGACTGCCTGTATTTATATAGTATTATTGTGACTCATGTGCTTCATGACCCTGGGCAAAGCAGTAATTAAAACAATTCTTTTCAAATCAGTTAAAGCTAATACATTCATATCTAGCCACTACAATTAATGGGTCTGATCATCAAGCGACTTAGCAACTGGAAGACAATGGGTAGGATTTTCAAAAGGACCTAGTTTCAAAAAGACCTAACTCACTTAGGGTAGACTTTACAAAAATGACTATGGATACTCCCTGCACCACTGAACTTTTATGGCTTAGCTAAGCAACTATTTTGGAAAATTTTGGCCACAGTGTCCATTTTCCCATTTTGGAAAGTTCAGTGCAATGCATTAACTTACTTAATGTGCTTTTTTTAAAAAACAGACTATTTAAAGTAACTGGAAGAATTAAATAGTATTAATAGTTGATTAAAATCTCTGCATACATTTTACTACACAAAACTAATATATTTTAAGAAAGAGCTACAATTCTACATGAAAATTTATAGAGTCTTCTTCAATTTTTACAAAACGTTAGGCTCTCTTCCGAACAGAGAATTCTTACCCTGTTGCCACAGCCCTTGGCTGACAGCCCCATCTCAGAACCATTATATACTCAATTTCCAGTAAGTTAAATATAATTATTGATAAAGATAAGTTTGCACACTAAACAAAGGGGAAGTCAGTGAGGTATTTGATATATTCCTTGAGTATTTTAAGATTACTGATTCTGTATTACCCCAGCTGCTAGGAAAAAAACAGAAGAAATGTGTACAAAGCTAAAAAAAATAAATGAACTCATGTCTTCTCCCTACTTCCTCCCAAAACACCCAAGAGACAAAGATTTACATACGTAAGTAGGGATGAAAATGTTAAAGTTTTACTTATTATTATTAGAAACTGAAAATAAAAATCCTCTAACAAAAGATATTTAAAAAATGCATCATTTCTGCTAAGTATGCAAATTTCACACCTTATTTTATTTTAATAGAAAACAGGATGAATACATAAATGGAACACAACTTTCAAATTTGAAGGCAAATTTGACTTCAGTTCAATAGCTGTATACTACATTTGATAAAACAAGCAAAATATGTATAATGCTGCTCATAACAAGCTATTACCTAGCATCTTTGATATTCTATGTAAACCAGGCATGTCAAACTGGTATTTGGGGGGCCGCATGTGGTCCAATTGAAATTTTTGCAGCCCGCCACTACATTTTATAAAGGAATAAAGTGTGGCCCACTGGCCGCTCGGAGCACATGGCTGAGCACAGATCACAGCTGGCTGGGCCACTCTGCGCCGCAGCAACTGCTCACGGCCAGGGCTGCTCTGTGCACGCGCTCATGGCCGGCCAGGCCACTCTGTGCTGGACGCTCTGCATGCTCACTCACAGCTGACCAGGCTGCTCTGCACATGGCATCCAGCATGTGCTCACAGCCGGCCGCTGTGCTCATGCCACCCTAGCATGTCTGAGGAAGAAATATGTGGCAGCGGCAACGGTGACTCCGTGACCTAGGTATTAGGTTGGGGGGCTGGGAGTGCCTGGCTCTGGGGGAGTGGATTGAGGTTATTTTGTTAATATTTTGTTTATTTATTTATTCCCAAATAAAATAACAAAATGTATATTAATGTTATAGCAATAAATGTATTTTTTTGCAATTGCCTGAATAATTATGTTCATGCAGAATCTCAACCTTACAAAGTATCTGAAATTTTCACAGAAGCATGTTCTATTTGATTAACCATGGTTTATACTTGTTTTTATTTCAATAAAACAAGTTATGTATCATAAAAAATTAGAAGTACCTTAAATTTATATCTAAATTTAAAATTATTTTATATGCGCAAATAACAATTTTGCACATCAAATATTGTATTGTATTAAAACTAGACCTGAAAATATATTATAAAATATGCCAAAACAATCCATAATAATAAATACTTACAACTTTCTGATACAGTACATTTTCTTTGGTGGCACTGAAAGCTATCAGTTTTCGTTTGCGTGGACCTAAGCAGGCTCGAGTTTGACATGCCTCATGTAAACCATTGTAAAGGACTTTACAAGGGGCATCAGTAACATCGGGCCTATTTTACAGATTCAGGAAACTAAGCCACAAAGAATGGAAATCACTTCCCAAGGTCTTATCTAGCAAGCCAGTGGCAGAGCCAGGAATAGAACCCAGGTCTCTCAAATCTGAGGTTCAGTGCTCTACTAGGATGCACAATCTCTTCACTTAACAAAAATAGATACTAACCAAAAGAATTCTCTTAGCTCCGAACATCAGCTACTTAACAAACAGCAGGTACTAGTGCCTATATAAGAAAGATGTTCCATTTTTCTCTAGGGAAATTTTCAGAGGAGAAGAGAAAAATATTCCTATCGAGAAAGAGAGAGACACACACACATACCCCCACCCCTACTGCTAAAAGGAAAATATTTTAAGAGTTCTAATTCTACAGCTTATTCAAAGAATTCCAATTCAAATTTTAATATGTTTCTGTAAATACATTTTCAGAGATATGATTACAACAGATTTACCCATTCTTTCTTCCTCCAATTTGTTTTAATTTCAAAATCTGATTAGCAGATTAAAATATATCACATGAAAACAACATGTAAAATTCTAAGGTACATAAATTTAAACTGCTCTTTGTGAAAATTAGAACTAATATTTTTAAATGCTAGGCAGATTTCACTATTTTGCACTCAGACTTGCTCAGATAAAAGTATTTCCTTAGTTACACAACAGTCAAACTGTGATAACCTGAAATATAGAAATTTCACAAAAGTATGACAAAATTCGATAAAACAATAACCAGGTTTCGTAAAGCCAGTTTTAGATTATTTAACATGTTATACTTCATAAAATAGATTCTATAGTCATTAATATGACTATCAGTATAAAATGAACAAGTGTAAGTAATTGATTCGATAAGGATCTTGCAAATAAATATTCTGCACAAATATTATCCTCATATTATATGCACATGGAAATCACAAAACCAGAATATTTTTTTCTAATCAGCCTTTTCTAGCTACAACTGATTTCTATACAGATGAACTCTGTTTACTACAGGTTGTACCTCTATAAACCAGGACTCTCTGGGATGCAGGGGAGTGGGAGCTGGCCGGCGCAATGCGTGGGAAGGGAAAGCAGCACAGGGTCTCGCTGGACTGCCTGGGAGACCGGGAGCCAGGAAGCCCGGCATGAAGCTCAGCTGGGCTGCGGGTGGAGGATGAAAACGGAGGGGTGGGAAGTCCAACACACAAACCCAGCAGGGTTGCCCAGGGAAGCCAGTGGGGTGGCAGAGCAGGGGGGTCAGAAATTACCTCCCCATGTCCTGCAAAATGCTTTATCTGGGACCAATCAGGTCCAACTTGTAGTATATTTTGCTACAAGAACATTTACTTCCCTTTACACTTTCCATATATTACTAAGGTTTAGCTTTTCCATGAGCTTCATGTACAAGAAAATCCTGTGTCGATTTCCAAGTTTTGGCAAATGAAGGCAATGATACACAAAAATTACTTTCATTTACAGGATTTGCTGTTCTATGTGAATAACTAAAGAGTTGTAAATAACTAAAATGATACAAAACAGTAACTGGAAAACTGAATGAAGTATGCAAAAATCACTTATTCATACTCAAAATAAAACAGGAAAATTAGTTTAGAAAAAGAATTAAAATACATTTAGTATATTTGGAAACCAAAAGAAAGTAAGATGGGAAGGATCACTCAACGCAAATCCACTTTTGGTATAAAAATAATGAAACCTTTTAAATGGTTAAAGCAAGCAGAAAATATGGCACTGATTTTTATAATAAAATACAAATACGGGGCTTTTTAGTCTGAGATTTTTTTTTTCCAGTGGCCTTTTTAAGAGATGCCAGTAGGAAAATGAAAAAAGCTCTCTACAATAAGATGCATTTGTACCTCTCCCATTGGAGTAACTGGTTCAACAATTTTAGAGTTAAACAGAATTAATTCTGCTCTGAAAAGTCCATTGACCTTAAGCTTTTAACAAACATTTTCAACTGAAGAGATTACTGTCAATATTTACAAATCCTTAAAATTATATTTCATTGGAACAGCTTTTATTTGCTATATTAATATTTCTTTGCAAATGTATGCTTATCCATATCACAGAAGGAGAAACAGCTGCTACTCACAGGAAATCTCTGCGGTCCTACAGTAGGTCTTGGCTGAGTTGGGACTGGTAACAAGGGCACTGAAACAAGAAACACCTTTTAATAGCATTTATTTTAACCTAACAGTTATTGACTTTATCTACAAAAGTAGTCACATAGCAGATCGTAATCACTGCTGGTTAAGTTTACTTTTAAGAACTAAGCATGTGTTCCATAGTCCCTAAAATTAGCCAAGTGGAGACAAATTTTCATAGCATAAATTAGATAATGCAATCCTGAATTTTCCAGAATCAAACCTGTTGACAAAGGAAAACCTATACCTGGCAAAACTGAAGGAAGTCAACATGTAAAGGTGGATCTAAATGACATAACCATACAGAGTTTACATGCTAAATTCTTGTTTTCTCAGACCCTTTTAGATTGTAGGGAATCACAGTGACAGATTCCATGCTTCAACAGGTCTTTATAACATCCTAACACTACGTATACTAAGGCATCATAGCAGATAAGGTGCTAGAATGACTACAGAGAACCTAAAATGGGAGAGAGAGGGTAAAAACATTCAGAATTATGCATGGATGTCACCTATTAAACATTAATGAATGGAAGCTTCGGGGGGAGCTGAGTTAATCTGTCCAGGATACACTTAAAAAACAACAAATAGTCTGCTAGCACTTTATAGACTAACACAACATGTAGATGGTATCATGAGCTTGTGTGTGGACTGCTCTGGGTGGCTGGACTACTGCAGCCCAGCAATGCGCTGAAGCACTCCCCTCCGCCCACTCCCCTTGTTTAACCGGTTAAACAATTAAATGGGATTTTACATACCTAATCAGTACATCAGACTCCTCTATATCACTGTTATATTACACACAATTACCAAAAGTCTTCCCTATATGGTGCACAGCGAAACACTGTGATACCTCAACTGATGTGCTAACTAGAGCTGGTTGGGAAACGTTCAAGAAATATTTTTTATACTGGAAAATGCAGATTTAACTCAAACTTTTCTGGAACAGCAGTAGTCTGAACAGATTTGGAAATTCAAAAAATTTTGGAAAAAAGGTTTAAGTTGTTGGAACATCCCATTTGGAAATTTTCTACATGAAAAATTCCATTTTTTTCCAGCTCAAAATTTATATACTGTAAGTTTAGTAAATAAAAGGTTGAAATCAAAATGAAGCATTTTGAAAATGTCAAACCAAATCTTTTCTTTTGGACTAAAAGTCTAAGAAACGAGATTTCCACTTTTCATCCTGATTTGGGATGATCTCTCCAAAATTTTCCCAGGATGGAAAAACATTTCCCACACATTTATCAAATACTGACTTTAGATGGAGGCCACTGTACTATGTTTTTGAGAAGAAGGAATCAACATTAGAAGAAAGGCCATCCAACCTCACCCACCTTGTCTCTAACACCAGTAGACCAACTGGGCTACAACTACACTGCATATATACATTCTTAGAGGTATTCACAGCACTTGACACTTCTATCATTGAATTAATAAATTCCATATTTTGGAGGCTCCAACTCCTATCAACTGTTTCCTCAAACTTCTTAAAAAGTGAATAAGATACAAGAACTAATATATTGGGAACTATTCTTATCTCACACCTGATTATATTGAAGTACTGGGCTAAGTGAACTAACTTTTCACGTTTGGAAGATTGTATTCAACCTCTGTATTCAGTTACAGTAGAAAATCAATTTGATGGTTTCATCCTAGTTCCTACTGAACACCTGTCAGCATCATACAGTCATCACCCAATTTGGAAAGATGGGGAGTTTGACAGAAACATGACTAAAATAGCTGAAGTGT